AACTGGACATCGCAGTGGCGTAACGGGTAAAGTGACGACGGACTTGGACGTCCAGAAGTCGCCGTTTACAATCGTCAGCACGGGGGGGGGGGTGGGGGGGGGGAGCTGCAACCTTGAACCTTCGAACAATCGGTGCCATCGTTTTCGTGCCAATTGTCGGTGCGATAATTCGCGTAATTTTGAATTTATATATCTTTATACGTCCACAATAGAGGGGGTTCTTTTGGCTTGGATCGCGTAAATATATAAATGTGTCGTTCAACCCGCCACCACCCCGACACGGCCAATTGGTAAGGTTTGACACGGAAACTGAACGTGCCAATTCGTTACGAGTACAGCACAGCGGTGTGTTGGAGAGGAAATCCACAATATTGACATTATATAATTATCCCGTCACGATACTTCAATCGCTCATCACTTCCCTGGGGAATCACGGACAAATATGAGATGAGAAGAGCGTTGTAGCGGTCCTCAAGGCAGAAGACAAAGAGTGATGTTCCGATAGAATCGGCCCAAGCAATCGGGAGATGTTAGAGGAGAGAGCGATTTTTGAAAATGAGATATTGAAGATTTTTATTTTATATAGGATTCACGATATAGGTGAAGTTCTTGAAGAAATCTCAACTGACGATCTAAGTTATATATATATTGTGTATTAATATTGTTACGTACATTTATACGTGAATTTTACGTAGAGATTCATGTAAATGTCATATCCATGAAACAAATATTTCGTAATTTAAAATTGTATATACATTTTATCAATGTGTATACATTTTAAATATGTAAAACATAATAATTAAATGTATTTAATTACAAGTTGTTTCGAGATGTGGTGGCTGGTGGTGTGCTTGCGAACAACCAAATCCATTTAAAACTTAAACTAACTTCTACAGCGGTTTGCCCTTCATGCACGCAAAGCCAATGCAGCGCTGCGCACAGAGTAGCCACGTGGCCTCACACCATCGACGCCTGTCGACAAGACCGCCTGGTGGGTCTCATCCACCTGCCCAGCCACCGTCCCGCCCGGCTGCCTGCCCAGGATCCCGCCCAGCCAAACAACCCCTCAGCTACCCGCCCACCCAGCCAACCAATAAAGCGGCCAACCCAACCACCACCACCTACCAACTGAGCCAGCCAATCACAGAGCCAGCCACCCACCCATCTGCCCGCCCACCCACCTATCCACCCGCCCAACAATCCGCCTACCCACCCACATACAAACTCAACCAACCACCCAAGCATCGAACGTAAAATAGACATTTCCGCAATCTGACTCCTCCGCTGACTACATAGCCCACGAGGCACACGTTTAAACACGTTAATAGCAGCATTTTGTTAGTCCACAGGTTCAATGGGACCAGCATCTCTCTTCTCTTCGTGCGTGTGGCAGCTGCAGCAGCGGCGTGTTCATTGATATTTTGAACGAGAACCTCGCGCCCCCTTGTGGCCAACAAACCTCACAATTTTTCTTGAACAAACATTTTTACGAATTTTTGTTTACTAATTCTATGATTTAAAAAAAAGTTCGACGTAAAATTAAATAGATTATTTAAAAATGTTTCTTTAATGTTTTTATCATAAAATGTAATTGACAGATATTTAGAAATATTTATCTAAAATAAAAAAAATATATATATACATTTTTTTTTCTATTTTATTTGTTACAAAAAGATATAAATATTTTACACTCGATAGAAAACATTTACATATATTTTTTGTAAAAGATAAAAAAAAATGAAATTAATTATTTAATAACAAAACATAAAATGTTAAAAATAAGGATTTTTTTTTATAAAATGTAAAAAAAAATGCTTAGCACTAAAAATAAACGAAACCATCTTTTTTAAAATACATTTTATTTTTTCGTAATAATTTCAAATTATTAGTTGTTTTGAGAAGTGTAGATGATGATGTGCTTGCGAATATGAAATCCATTTCAAACTTAAAATAACTTCTACGGCGGTCTTCTCTTCGTGTACGCAAACCAAATACAGCGCTCCGCACAGAGTAGCCACGCGGCCTCACACCATCGACGCCTGTCGACAAGACCGCCTGGTGGGTCTCATCCACCTGCCCAGCCACCGTCCCGCCCGGCTGCCTGCCCAGGATACCGCCCAGCCAAACACCCCTTCAGCTACCCGCCCACCCAGCTAACCAATAAAGCGGCCAACCCACCCACCACCACCACCTACCAACTGAACCAGCGACCACGTAGCCAGCCACCCGCCCATCTGCGGTCCACCCACCCACATACCAACTGAACCAGCTACCCACCCATCGAACGTAAAATAGACATTTACGCAATACAATTCCTCCGCTGACTACATAGCCCACAAGGAACACCTTTAAACACGCTAATAGCAGCATTTTGTCAGTTCACAGGGTCAATGGGACCAGCATCTCTATTCTATTCATGCATATGGCAGAAGCAGAGATGTGAAACTAGGTTTTTCCCCTTTTCCTGGCAACAAACAGCTGTGTTAAGATGTTAAAACACCAAACTGAAACCTTTTACAAGCAATCATGTCTGCATTAACCACAACGCTTGTGGTCAGAATGCAAACAAAAAAACATACTCTGATAATATGATGCATAGTCTTTGTGCTGTACGCCTTTTGGCGTCCTCTGGTCTAACACCGTTTGAGACGAGGCTCAAAAGAAAGCTGTCTCTGGTGTGGACCAATCAGTTTCAAAGACAATGCATCATTGCTGTGGTTAATGCAGACATGATTCCTTGTAAAAGGTTTCAGTTTTTTGTTGTTTTAACATCTTAACGCAGCTGTTTAATTGCCAGATAAAAGGGGAAAACCTCTTCTCCTATTTTGGTACTGGCAAAGGAGGTCCCATGAATCAGAGATATATACTCTTCGATTTAAAGCTTTCTTGACTGCAGGGATTCATCTTCTTTGTTCTTTCGGTAAAGTCACGTAGAAGGGAAGCAAAGTAATACAAATAAAACATAAATAAAATAATATAAAATTCTCACGACATTGAAGCGCTGTCGTCCCGACAGTTCTGTTCCTTCACCTGAAGAAGGCTACTTGTGTTGTGGCCGAAACGTCGTGAGAATTTTATATTGTATTTTATTATGTTTTATTTGTATTACTTTGTTTCCATCCTACGTGACTTTACCGAAAGAACCAAGAAAATGTATACTCTTTTTAGTTCTTTCGGTAAAGTCACGTAGGTAGAAAAAAATTCTAGATCACGACGTCTTCACTTGAAGACGGTTGCTTGTGTGGCGATCGAAACTTCGTGATCTATTATTTTTTCTACCTACGTGACTTCACCGAAATACCTAAAGAGTATGAATTCCTGCAGTCACGAAGGCTTCAAATTAAGCAGAGATGTGTTGAAGAATATTTTTTTACGAGAACCTTGAAAACTATTACACATTTTAAAAGAATTATTTTTCAATCATTGATTTTTTTTTACATTTCAAAGAAAGCATTGGAACGAAAATTTGTACAATTTTTTTCCCTCTGCTGACTACAATAGCCCACAGGGCACACCTTTAAACACATTCATAGTAGCATTTTGTCAGTTCACAGGTTCAATGGGACCAGCATCTTTATTCTATTCCTGCGTATGGCAGCAGCAGCAGCAGCAGCGATTTGTTCAGCAGCTAAATGCCAATGTCGCGTGAGTGTTTCTCCCCACGAAGGGGCTTCAAGGGTTCTCTTTTCAACATTCATGAAATATTGTTCTTTGAAAATGTGTTCCAAATTTGTCTTCAATTTTTTTCATTAACATTTGCAAAGAACGAAAATGGTGTCCGTTAAAACATTTGAGAAACTTTCAAATAGCATTTCCAAGACATTTTAAACGCGAACCTTTGTAGCCCTCTAGTGGCGAATAAACCTCACGCAAACGTTTTCTTGAACATAAATGTCAAAAAAAATGCAACATGCTTTTACTAAGTTTGATTTCTACCGTGCTTGTTCCGTGCTTGTTTATCGGTCCATTCTCTCCTGGGCAGGAACTCCACACAATTCCCCCTCTGCACCCCCTTCTCTCTCTCTCTATTTAAGGCCTTGACACAGAGACGTTGTCTTTCTGTGTGCCTATGTGTGTGTCTTTCTCTGTTTGTCTCTGTGTGAGTCTCTCTCTCTCCGCTTGTGTGTCTATGTTTTGTCTCTCTCTCTCTCTCAAATTTAGCAATCTTTGGAGGAACGTAATCAGCCAGGAGGGGTGTTGACTGTTGTGTTGGCCGACTCTCTGTGTTGCATTGCATTATATTTCCAAGTTTACCATGTTTGTTTTCTCATTAATTTATACCTGATGATGGTTGCTTGCGTTGCAATCGAAACGTCGTATCCTAGAATTTAATTTAATTTCTTTCTACGTGACTTTACCGAAAGAAACCAAACAATAATTCCTGCGGTCACGAAAGCTTCATATCCAGTTTGAATTATCAACATCGGGTTTTTTTCTCTGACAATTTCCCCCCCCTTCAAAACATCTTAAGTCGGCGTAGTTTGTATTTTGCTCCTCCTTCGCGGAGTTGCAGACGGCAGTCTTTTCGTCACCGCAGGACTTCCCTCCCCTCCCACCAAAGTCGCGTGTTTTACAGAGGCCACTTGCGTCAATTCAAATCGCAAGTGTTCACCCCCCCACCACTACCATCCCCCCCCCCACCATTCGCCCCCCTCCACCACCCCCCCCTCCACCCCCCCCCAACACCCCCCACCCCGTCCGTGACTCCTCCCCGGATACGGGGGTGGGGGCTGGAGGGTGCGGGGAGGCGTGGTCTCGCGTATATTAACGAGGTGGCGGACCCAAGCCGCCTACTGAGTGGATCAGCTGATCGCCAGTGGGCGGTGGCTTTGGTCAATTGTGGGCGTGATCGTGGAGCGAGGGCCGCGCCCCTTTTTCGCGTGCCGCGAGGCCACGCCCACCCTAAAAAACCCACCCCCACTCACTGCAGCAAACCCCCACCCCCTCCACTACCCCCCCCCCCAACTCCCCACCCCCGGTCTCGTTGTTAAAGTTCGGCTCCCAACTTCGCACCGAGTCACACGGTAGGGGCGAAGTGAGAGGAGACAGGCGTTGGTGGTGGTGGTGGTGGTTGGTGGTGGTGGCGGTGTTACCAGCGACCATTCCAAAGTCGTTCTCATTCTCGGGTAAGTTTCACGGTTAAAGTTTTGTAGCCCCCCCCCCCCCGCCGCTCTTCCCCTCCTCTCCCCCCCCCCCCTAGCCATGCTCAATCCACCGCTGGATGGTGATAACAGCCTGTGCGCAACTTCGACGTCTTGCGCGAGTGTACTGGACGGGTTGCTTCGCTGCCCGTGCGGCCACATGGTGATCGCAAGTGCGAACCCGCAGTCGCTGCTGTTACATCGGACAAATGTTTGTTGCGCGCGGCTACGGTGGTGGTGAAGTATGGTCAAAAGTAAGACCCCGCCCCCCCCCCCCACCACCCCCCACCGGCACGGCGTGAATTGGAAGAATTTGATGGCCTCATTCATTCATCAATGTTTGATTTTTAGTTAAGTATCGCACTCGTGTGTGAGTTGGTTGGGACATTATACTCAATCCCACCCCCTCCGCCCGGCCGTCTTTGTATCCCCACTTCCGCGATACAGGTCGCACATGCTGTATGTGTATTTATACCAGAGCGCACGTGCGCGCACACACACACACACCGCACAGGCTAGCAGTGGATTGAACTTGATGGGTAAACTTGGTTGGAGAGACACGCCCTTTTTGTGGCTGTGGGGAGAAAGGTAATTTGATTTTTGCCATTGAGTGAGTGTGCATGCTCGTCCGTGTGGGTGTACACGCACTGGGGACACAAAGGCGGCCGGGCGTGGGTCTGACCACACTCCAGCCACCCTCTCGCGTGTGCCGTGTCGGCCTTCATAGGTGCTCGTTAACAGCACTTGCCCCAACAGCCTGCTAAAGGCAATACACGGATGGGAACTTTTGTCCTGTGTGTGTGTGAGGAGCGGTTGGGGAGCGATAGTGTAGCGGTTAGCGCGCTGCGCTATGAACCTGGCGACCCGGGTTCGATTCCCGCTCACGGCCAACACCTGTGACGATTATCTGAACCGGTCCCGGGCCTTCCCTAGGTCGACTCAGCCTCAAATGAGTACCTGGTGCGGTGGATAAAAATATCGCCACTGGGGAGACAAAGCCGGTCGGGCGTGGTTGCTGGCCACCCACCCCCTCGTGTACCGTTCCGGCCTTCATAGGTGCTCGCTAACACCACTTGCCCCTACAGTCTGTTAAGGCTATATGGGGGATCTTTGTCTTTAGCTTTGTGAAGAGCGGTGGCGCAGTGCACCGCGGGCGACTTGAGCTCAATTCACGCCCTCACGGCTCTCATCAGTGTCACATGTTGTTAGACCTTAAGCTAGTACTGTGTCACTTGCTGCTGCTGTGTTTATACTCGGCCCTTAAAATTTAGGCACCAGCAGTGGAAATTCCACATTCCTCGTATCTCAATTTAAATTGTCTTAACAACATACAACGTTATATTCTTAGTTTTTTCGGTAAAGTCACGTTGAAGAGAAACAACAAAATAACAAAATATATATAAAACAATAAAAAAATTCTCACGACGTTTCGACCATAACTCAAACGGTGAGAATTTTGAGAATTTTTTATTGTTTTATATATATTTTGTTATTTTGTTGTTTCTCTTCAACGTGACTTTACCGAAAAAACTAAGAATATGAATTACTGCAGTCACGAAAGCTTTAAATCAAAATTTAACATACAACGTTTTTGATTGAAAGCTTTCGTCACCCACTCACCTTATTCCCTTCTACGTGACTTTACCGAAAGAACCAAGAATATAACATACAACGTGTTTAGACTGGCTCTAGAAGTCTTAAGTGTAACCTGCATGGTATGTCTCGAACACCTTTGCCCATTTAGTGGATGCGATTAATCAAAGTAGGCTGTGAATGTTGCATGGGGGGGGAGCGGTGGCACAGTGGTTAGCGAAAGAGCGCCGTGAACCCAGACGGATACCGGAGTTGGATTCCAGACCATGGCTTAAAACACCAGTGGCGAATGCTAATCCTAGGTACCCGTCAGACACAACAACAGGTGTTGACCGGCGTGGTGAAGTATGGTCAAATGACCGACAGCTTGCTGGGCTCTGTGTGTTTGCGTTCACTTGTAACTTTAGATGAGGCCGGGCAGGATGATAATGGGCGGTGCTGGTGGCATTGCTGCTGGCAAGAAGGCGGATTCCATAATATTTACGTTTTTGAATGTGCACGGTGAAGTTTTTAAACGAATTGCAAACTTGTAAGAATCGATGACGGTCGACGATTCGATTAAGTTGCCGTACGAGTTTCGCTCGAACCACTTTGGGGTATGTAGTCGAGACCTATAGAGGTGTGTGTGTGTGTGTAACCTATACCTGGGTGAATCTTTGTAAACTTGTAGCTATTGAGCTGTATATGGCCAGTAAGCAATCTTAGCTCGCACATAGTCCGTCGCCTCCCTGTCACTCTTCTACCGCTACTGCCATTGTTAATATTCTCTTGACCTTCAATAATTGATTTACTTCTTCTCCACGAGTGTCGAGCACTCCGTTTACCAGACACCCTGTTTATTCTCAACCGTACTGTTTTCAACCATCACACTGCAGATATCACTCGCTCACTCACCCGCTCATCCACTCACCCACTCACTCACCCACTCACCTACTCAATCGCCCACTCACTCACCCCCTCACCTACTCAATCGCCCACTCACTCGCCCACTCACTTACCCACTCACCTACTCACTCACCCACTCACCCACTCGCTGAAAAACTGCCGTCAATCGCCACTAAGTGCAGGTGACGTTACCACAGCGCCTGTGCCAGGCTATGTGCACTTTGAGGCCACGTAAAGTGTCGAAGGCTCGCTGATAGGTCACGGGCCAGACCCCCAGGGGCCATGTGTTGACCGAGATTAATGGAAGATGCATCAACTGTGCCAACTTTTGCTATATTTTAGCCGCCCGGCGCTCCGCCCGTTTGTTGTGAGCGTCGCTCCTCTGCACTCCGCTGTTGTTGGAGGGCGACTGCCTCCCACCACTCAGTAGCCTCAGCGTGCACCTAGCCTGGCACTGTCCAGTAGCGTCTTTCACGAGCCGCCGCATCCACAGAGGCCGGTCTTGACACCGCTGGTACCGGTCATCGGCATTTCCACTCAACTGCACATCCTCCTGTACCGAATCAGCCTCTATCTCTTCTCTAGTCCCGTCGCTCCGGTTTGGCCCTCTTGATCCGGCCAAATAGAAGCTGATTTTTTGGCATGCGGTGGCTGGGCATGCGGGCTACATGACCCATTCACCCACTCACCTTATCACCCACTCGCTCACCATATCTGCTCACTCGCACACTGCAGGTCACCTCACCTCACTTCTCGCTCTCTCTCTCTCTCTGCTCCTTCCCTCCTCCCATCATCATCATCGCCGCCTCTCTCTTCTCCCTCCAAGTTCTCATCAGAAATCACTTTTATGCCCTTTGTTTATTTCAAGTGACGCGTTGTTACCTCTTTATCTATTTACACTTTGATTGTCACGGGCGCTGTATATTTGCTGGCTGTGTTTGTGCCACCGTTCAGCGCACTCAGAATATCAGAAATATTTTTTTTATTTACAATGGAGCTGTGAAGATTTTTATTTTTTTATTTAACCGATATCCAGTAGTTTCACAGATGTCCAGCTAAAAGAAATGAACGCAAATAATCGATTCTTTATCACGAATTGTCGCGCATCATCGAGGCTCTCAATCCCATCATGAAGCTCTTCCTTAATCTGGGATTAATGTGTCAGTTGATTAATTGGTTGGCCGTATGAATAAATTAATTGATAGCTATACGAATGAAACGCAACTGGTTAAAGGCGAGAATGCACGGGTAAGTGAATGAAAGAGTGGATAGAGGAAGCAACGGATGGAAAATCTCAATATTGCACGAATGGTTGAAGGGACACACGAATGAAAGGGGTGGAAAAACTCAATGAAAGCACGGAGGAAGGAACGAATGAATGCAGGAATAAATTAGTAACAAAGGGAAAATATGAAACAATGCATCAGTTGAACTTCTACGTGAATGAATGAATTGACAAGCGAACGAAAAAAATTAAAACAAATCTGAATGACGGAATTAATGACGTTATCGATGAGGCAATTGATTGATGGATTCGCTGAGTGGCTCGAGTAAAGTACGAACATATGTCGGCGTGTTGCATTTACGTCAACGTTCACTCGGTGATTCAAGCATTCCGGAGAAACGTGGCACACATGCACCACCACCCTATTACCGGGGAGAGGTGAGATTCTGTAAAATGTTTGTATTATTTTTGTGTAGAAAAAAAACGTATTGACTAAATGAAGTGACCTCATGTTAGGCGTTTTGGTTTGTGGTTTCAAGTGCCAGAGGCTATGAATTTTAACATCCGTATCTCCTAAGACACGGCGCGGAAAGAAGTTCAACGTCCACACACCCACGAGCTGAGCAAATGTAATACATGCTGATAATGTGGCTCAAGTCCAAATATCCCGTGCGTAGCCTTTAACAGACTGTTTGGGCGAGTGCTGTTAGCGAGTGGCACACGAGAGCGAGTGGGTGGCCAGCACCGCTCCCGGCCACCTTTGTCACCCCAGTGCCGATCGTTTATGCACGCCGGGTAACCGTTTCGGGCCGAGTCGACCTAGGCGATGCCCAGAACCGGTTCGACATTTTTTTCTTCTGCCACTTGAGCGCGAACGGGACACAACTCCCCACTTGTGCGTGCGCGCGCATCATGCACCTATCCTGGCACACCTACACACATGCCACTGTGGTTGGCATTTACCTCCATGGCGCTTGCGCCAGGCTAGGTGCACTTTGAGGCCGTCACGCGAAGTGTCCCGTGACAGACCCCCTCCCCCCCCAGGTGTTATGGGATGGCTGACTGTCAATAATTTGTCGGCTGCGAGTAGGCACTCACTCCCACATTTACGACGTCAAAGGTCCCCCGTGTAGCCTACAAATGCTGTTGGGGCAAGTGCTCTTAGCGAACATCTCGTGATGGTCACATCGAGACCCATGGGATAATCGTGGAGAGCCGCAGAGATCGATAGACTGCAGCCATACACACAGAGATCCGTAGACTCTCATAGAGACCCACAGGCTCGCATAGGGTATATATGGATTCTACTATCATAGAGACCCATAGATTCTACTATCATAGAGACCCATAGATTCTACTATCATAGAGACTCATAGATTCTACTATCATAGAGACCCATAGATTCTACTATCATAGAGACCCATAGATTCTACTATCATAGAGACCCATAGATTCTACTATCATAGAGACCCATAGATTCTACTATCATAGAGACCCATAGATTCTACTATCATAGAGACCCATAGATTCTACTATCATAGAGACCCATAGATTCTACTATCATAGAGACCCATAGATTCTACTATCATAGAGACCCATAGACACACAACAACGGAAGGGGGGTGGGGGTTGTTACCATCATCACGCCCGGCCGCCTTTGTCTCTCCAATATTGCCCTTTGAGCTCCTCGCACAATCCAGCCTGGTTAAACTCTGGATGGATCGTAGGCAGGCCAGCCTAAATGTTTCTAACTGGAGAAGATGTTCCATTAGGGGGTCCACGTTTCGCAAGCGTGGAGAAGGGAGGGGATGACCGTGGCCGAGAAGACCTGAAGCTTCGTGCGGAGCGACAGACCAGGTAGCTTCCACACAGCGTTACGCAACCGATGAAAAGATAATGCCGCTCGACTGGTTCGGAGTGAGACCTCCGCTATTAAACCGGAGCCGGTCATGAGCACACTGCCCAGGTATGGGAAACTCTCCACTCTCTCCACAACTGCCCTATCACCAATTAGGAGTTGTGGGGGTGGAGTGTCCGATGGTACACAATACCCAGACAGGTGCTTAGTTTTGGTGGTAATCTCCAGGTTCAGCAGCAGCGCCTCCAACTCCTCTGAGTGGGCAGCAATTACCAGATCATCGTCATACATAACATGGTTGAGGAATAGGGAGCCATCTCTTGACCGCACCCGGGCATCGATCAGCCTCCCATTGTATCTGTACCAGATGTAAATTCCTCCGGTACAGCTATTGAAGGCTTCACGAACTAGATGGTCGAAATAGATGTTAAATAATGTGGGAGCCAGAGGACATCCCTGTCGAACCCCAAGATGTACAGGGAATGGCTCCGACTCCCAGTCACGTAGTTTTACCCGGGCCCGCTCACCATCATGAAGGTCCTTAATGATCGTGAGCAGAGGGTCAGGGACTCGGAAAGCACGAAGAACAACCCAGTGCCCAGGCCTACTGATGGTAAAATCGTCTTTAACCAGGTCAATAAAGCAGAGATGTAGGTTTTGTTGGAATTCCCTACACCTCTGCTGTAGCAGACGGTCAGAAAATATGGCATCTGTGCAGGACCGCCCTTTACTGAAACTGCATTGGGGCTCCGTAAGCATCTCCTCAACGTGCCTAGCAAGGCGATGTTGAATAATCCTTGCCAGGACCTTTTCCGGCACACTGAGGAGTGAGATGCCCCATTTAGTTGTTACAGTCTGTGCGGTCCCCCTTCTTAAAGAGGACCACCAGGACAATCCTGTGGAACCCGTCCAGTGGTCCAGACTGTTGTTATGATGTCATGTAGGGCAGTACGTGCATAAACGCCACCCTCCCTCAGCATTTCGCTTGGGAGATCATCTCTGCCCAGTGCATTTCCTGGTCTCAGAATCCAAATCACCTTCAGTACTTCCTCAACAGATGGCACCTCAGCCAGCCACTCACAGGGGGTGACTTCCTCCAATATTTGAGGTGCCGCAGCCTCAGCAGGGTCATCCCCACTTTGTCCCACGTTGTTTTCTAGGCTGAGGGATTTCCCCTCTCCCAGGGCCTCACGAAAATGCTCAGCAAATCTGCAAACCTGTTCCTGGGGGTCGGAGATTGGATCACCGTTCTTTCCTCTCATGATGGTAATAGGTATGGTGCTGCAGGTTACTTTTTTGATGAAGTTAAAGAGCGATTTGTGATCACGGGCCATTGAGGCAGACTCCATCTCCTCAGCAACCCGCAACCACCACCCATCCTTGCAGTGCCTCATGGCTCTCCGAACCTCCGAGCGAAGGCTGCGGTAAGCCTCCTCATTCTCTGATGCGGGCTGCTATAGACAATGAGAGTTGGCCTGTCGCTTTTTCTCAGCCAGCCTGAACACCTCCTCTGTTAGCCAGGGTCTCTGGGGAGGTCTGGACCGTGTACCCAAAGCAGACATTGCAGCTGCATGAGCCATAGTCCTAAATCTCACCCATTTCCCCTCGACATCAGGATGATTGGGGGACGATACCAACCCCAGCCGCAAACGATCATTAAATTCTCGCTTGAACCTTTTCATCAGCTAGCTGAGACCAGGCCACTATGGGTTTGAATGGGGTACTGGGTGTACATCCACCACCGGAGTGGAAGAATGGCAGGCGCATCTTACAGATGACAAGTCGATGGTAAGTGGGCAGATCAGCTCCACAGTAGGTCCTGGTGTCAAGGACATGGGCCCGCATCCGCTGTTCCGTCACTATGTAGTCCAGCAGATGTTCTTGCTTAAACCTGGCATGCATCCATGATGTGTGGATGTGCCAATTCCAGAACAGCGTATTGGTAATTACATACCAATGGGCTGCACAAAAATCTAGTAGCCTCGTGCCCTTGTTATTGAGCTTCTAAACTGCTTGCGCGCCAGTGTTACCAAACCGTTCACGAAATAAACACTTTCTAAATGGAGCAACATGGCCTGGGTTGTTGCGCGCCAATTCCTCGTGAGCGTGGACCGGGGGCTCTTCTCGGGGACGCTCGGTGGTGGCTCGAGGTGCCGTCTGCTGCTGCCGCTCTGCTCGGTTAAGATGTTTTTCTTGTTCATGTTTTTTGTTTGTTGCGGTTGCACCTGATTCAAGAGCCAAATGGCTCAGGGCTATACCAAATAAATGAAACTGAAACCTGAGCTGATCTGGCCCATGCCTTTCATTTACTCCAGACCAGGTGCCAGCATCATGACCAACTCGGGAATTGAAGTCGCCCAACAAGATGACTCTATCCCGAGGGGCCACTTTAGCCAGCACCTGTGACAGGAGGTGATAGAAGTCATCTGACTCATCGGCTTTGCCTGCATCCCTCCATGGATGTTAGTCTTCGGTGGGGGTATAAGTAACCACGACCACCACTCCTTGCCTCTGATTGATGGCAAGGCGAGCCCAAAGTAGCCTGGGGCTTACAGCTTCCCACACCTCACCGCCACGCTCCCACGCCCCTTTTATTATTTTGTTCAGAAGAAGAGCCACTCCCAGTTGTTTGGCAGTCTGCTGCCCCGAGTAGAGGACTGTCCACCCCTCATGGTGGCAGGAGCCAGAGCCGGTCCACTGGACCTCCTGAATACCACAGAGATCCAGGTGGTACCGGTCCAGCTCCCGACAGAGGAGTGGCAGCCTCTCCTCCGCAGTGAGCGTTCGAACATTCCGCATGACCACCCGTAGTGTTTTTTTTTTCTGGAGGAGCCCCGAAGGTAAGGATTCGGTCTCCTGGCTCCGCCAAATGGGGTTTGGCCAGGAGACGTCATAGACACCTGTCCCCCCCAGGGCCTCCGGCACAAGCTTAATTAGATATTTTAGACGTGGTTTTGTGGTGATTAATTGAAGGTGGAGGGTTTACCAGCCCCTCGCACCCGTCCAAAGCCCCCGTTTGGCCGCTGTCGTGGCTACAAACGCCATGAGGGGAATGGCCAATCTAAGTTGCCCCTCCCCCCCCCAAGGCACTGCTCACCACAGCGTTGCGGTCCGGCACAAACGAGGAGTTACGGCACACGAGGAGGTGGGTGACCAGCACCACACACACACCTCACCACACACCCACACCTCACCACACACACACACACCGCACCACACACACACACACACCGCACCACACACACCCACACCTCACCACACCCACTCAATGTGTCACCGTGCGGAAGCGTGACGGGTTTTTTGTTGTTGCGGCGAGCCATTTGTCGTCCAGTTGTGCAAGTGCTGAAGGTTTGGGTGTCATGTCACCTTTACTTGTGCGAGTGTGTGGGTGCGCGCGTGGGTGCGCGCGTGGGTGCGAGTGTGTGGGTGCGAGTGTGTGGGTGCGCGCGTGCACGTCCGAACCGGTCCTGGGCCTCCCCCCCTAGGTCGACTCAGCCTCAAATGGGTACCTGGTGCGGTGTGTAGTAAACATTGCTACTGGGGAGACAAAGGCGGCCGGGCGTGGTGTTGGACACCCAACCCCCTCGTGTGCCGTGCCGGCCTTCATAGGTGCTCGCACACGGCACTTTCCCCAGCTGCCTGTTAGTGCTATACAGGAGTGGGATCTTTGCCTTTATCTTTGTGTGTGTGTGTGGAGCTGTAGTGTGGCGTGTGAGCGCGCTGCACTGCAAACCTGGTGACTCAGGTTCGATTCCCGCTCGCGGGCAAACACCAGTGACGATGATCTGAACCTGTCCGGGACCTCCCCCCTCCCCCACCCAGGTCGACTTGACCTCAACCGAGTGCCTGGTGCGGTGCGTGAACCTCAGAATCAAAATCCTTGTTTCGGCTGCGTGAAGAATCCGTTGAGCTACGAACCTGCTTTGTCAGAGATGTCCAGCGAACGGCGGCGAGTCGCACCGGCAAACCAGGCGGGACTGGCCAGTCCCCCATCGTGTTGTGCGCAATGCCGACCTTCATGGGTTTGTTACTAGCCAACAGCACTTGCCCCAACAGTCCGTCAAGGCTATACAGATGAGGGGGGGGGGGGGAGGAGTCTTTGTCTTTGTGTCTGCATCTGCATCCTGTGTTGCGCAATCTCTTCGACTGACTTCGCATTAGGGTGGTGGTGCATGTGTTGCAGTCTCCTCGCTAGAGACCAACTCCGCCACCACGGAAGCTCTCTGTTGGCGAGAGACGGACAGAGAGAGACGGACGGAGAGAGAGAGACGGACAGAGGGAGAGAGACGGACGGAGAGAGACGGACGGAGAGAGAGAGAGACGGAGAGAGAGAGACGGAGAGAGACGGAGAGAGAGAGAGAGACGGAGAGAGAGAGACGGAGAGAGAGAGACGGAGAGAGAGAGAGACGGAGAGAGAGAGAGACGGAGAGAGAGAGAGACGGAGAGAGAGAGAGACGGAGAGAGAGAGAGACGGAGAGAGAGACGGAGAGAGAGACGGAGAGAAAGACGGAGAGAGAGACGGGCAGAGAGAGAGACGGACAGAGAGATGGAGAGAGAGAGACGGACAGAGAGAGAGAGACACGGACAGAGAGAGAGAGAGAGAGACACGGACACAGAGAGAGAGACGGACACAGAGAGAGAGACGGACAAAGAGAGAGAGAGACGAACAGAGAGAGAGACAGACGGACAGAGAGAGAGAGAGACGGACAGAGAGAGAGAGAGACGGGACAGAGAGAGAGAGAGACGGACAGAGAGAGAGACGGACAGAGAGAGAGAGAGACGGACAGAGAGAGAGAGAGAGAGATGGACAGAGAGAGAGAGAGATGGACAGAGAGAGAGAGAGAGACAGAGACAGAGAGAGAGAGAGAGACAGAGACAGAGAGAGAGAGACGGAGAGAGGGTGATGAGCACAAATTGACGGGGAAGTTTTAGGGTTTTTTTTTAAGTTGTGCTCAAAAGTGTAATTGTAGCCCTGCAGTGACGTCACAGCGACAGCACTCTCCCCGGCAGTTTGCATCACCGTATGGGTGATCTTTACCTTTGTGTGTGTGTGTAATGTATGCAGAGTGTATATGGGCAAATGGTTAATGTGTTGTACTACATTATAGGAGTGTTGGTGTAATTTATCAAATTCAAATATTCCCCTTATAGCCTTAACATTGTGGGCAAGTGCTGTGTGATATGCGCGACATGCCTAACGCGTGTGGTATATTACAATCTATGCAACCTAAAGATCACCCCCCCCCCCCCCCCCCACGTATAGCCTGGACAGACTGTTGGGGCAAGTGCTTTTAGCTAGCACCTGTGTGCCGTGCCGGCCTTCATAGCTGCTACTCGCTAACAGCATTTGCCCCAACAGTCTGTTACAGGCTATACGGGTGGTGGTGGGGGGGGGGAATATTTGTCTGTGTGTGTAATCTACGCATGTCGTGCACACGCTCGCTCGCTCGCTCGCACAGTCGGTGACGTTCGCTGGCCGGTGGTGAATGACTCCGGGTAAACACCGAGAGGCTGGCACCGTCACTGCCTTGTGCACACACCGCAGCGATAAAAAAACAACTCAAAATCATCGAGCGACAAATATAGCCCCCCCCCGCCCCTCCCCTCCCTCCTCCCGGCTCTCCCCCCAGCCCCTCCCCTCTCTCCCCCCACCCCTCCCCTCTCTCCCCCCACCCCTACCCTCTCTCCCCCCACCCCTACCCTCTCTCCCCCCACCCCTCCCCTCTCTCCCCCCACCCCTCCCCTCTCTCCCCCCACCCCTACCCTCTCTCCCCCCACCCCTACCCTCTCTCCCCCCACCCCTCCCCTCTCTCCCCCCCAGCCCTCCTCCTGACTCTCCCCCCCAGCTCTCCTCCTGACTCTCCCCCAGCCCCTCCCCCCTCTCCCCTCAGCCCCTCCCCTCTCTCCCCCCTCCCCTCTCTCCCCCCACCCCTCCCCTCTATCCCCCCTCCCTCCTCCCGGATCTCCCCCCATATGTTCTCTCGGCCGGTGTAGGGGACCCCCCCCCCGCCCACGTGTTTGACGGGCAGGCAGGTTCCTTCACTCTGACTCACAGGGAGCCAGACGGTGTCGTAATATCATCAAAGTTGGCGCTGCTGATGAGAGAGCCGAAACCGGTCCGGAGTTTATTTTTTTTATTTTTGCTTGTAGGACTGTGTGTACGTTGAACTTCTTTCGCACCGTACGTAGCCAATCGTGCTAATCGCTTCGAGCGAGCATGGTCCTGCTGATGAGATGGCTAAAGATCTGAAACCTGTCCCAGAGTCTGTACTTGTTTTGACGCAATTGTTAAAGCGAGCCTGGTTATGCTGACGAGACAGCCGAGTGTGGAAACTGGTCTAGAGGTTTTGCTTGTGTTTGAACCAATGCTACTGAATGTATGCACTCCCCATTAGGCCGGTATGCCTGATGGGATATGTAAAAACAACCTTGATATAAAGATGTCACGACTCAATTTGAACTTGCACATCCACACCCCGCACACTGCAACACTTGCCCAGGACGCAATGTAGCAGCAACTTTGAATACTTTCACTCTTAATTCAAAGTAGTTTATTTGACTTTTAAAAGGTTCTGTTTCTAAATATCTACTATTCTTGCTATTCATCGAAAAAACAACAACATCCTCATCATCATATGTGAGTCTCTGAGTATATGGGTACTAATTTTATCGATCACAGTGGGGGGGGGGGGGGGATGATGATGGGCAGAGTCAACCCCCGAACCAGAACTAAAACTCGCAACCTTCCGATTGCGAACGGCTCGCTCGACCTTTGAACCACCTCGGTCAGCGTGCGGAGCGGTGGCACAGTGGTTAGCGCTACGCTGCGCTACGAACCCGGCGACCCCGATGTTCGATTCCCGCTCACGGCCTACCAACACCCAGTGGCGATTATCTGAACAGGTCCTGGGCCTCCCCTAGGTGGACTCGGCCTCAAATGAGTACCTGGTGCGGTATTCAATAAACATCGCCACTGGGGGGACGAAGGCGGCCGGGCGTGGTGCTGCCCCCCCCCCCCCCCATGCACTGGTGCTCGCGAAGAGCACTTGCCCCGACAGCCTGATAAAAGACTATTCGGGAGCTATTTGTCTTTTTAGTGTGCGTGAGTGTAAGTGGACGCTGTCAATGGAAGAAAACCTCCCCCCCCGAGGATGTCAACATTTTGGGTGGGGTGAGTGGGAAGTAAATCCACGCTGGAAGATTTCCACGAATCGTTTCCGTTCACCTGTGGGTTACATAACGCCCTCCCCCCCGCCCCGTATGAGGGTCTATGGTTTCCTGAGAGTCTATGGGTCTCCTCTGATTAAAACCCATGTGTACCCTATGCGCGCCTGTGGGTCTATGCGTGTCTGCGAAACTCTGTGCGAGTCTACGGATCTCTATGAGAGTCTGCGGGTCTCTATGAGAGAGTCCATGGGTCTCCGCTTAGTAAAACACAAAAAAAACCGTAATATACCCTATGCGAGTCTACGGATCTCTGTGCGAGTCTACGGATCTCTGTGTGCATGGCAGCAGTCTATCGATGCCTGCGGCTCTCGAGGATTCCCGCCTGGGTCTCGACGCGAACCCGTGACTTGCAGCGTTGGAACGTCGCGACGGAGGAAACGCCACACCCAGCGGTGCCGTTACCACGGCGACTACGGCCAAGACTGCCAACACTCACACGCAACAGGCACGCACACACACAGTGGCATACACACACACATAGTGGCATACACACACACACTTACGTAGACACATGTACACCCCAATACAGTCACACGGAACATACCGAGTCTCACACACTTGCATACACAAAGACAAAGATCCCCCGTGTAGCCTTGACAGACTCTTGGGGCAAGTGCTGTTAGCGAGCACCTATGAAGGCTGGAACGGCACACGAGGGGGTGGGTGGCCAGCACCACGCCCGGCCGCCTTTGTCTCCCCAGTGGCGATATTTACACACCGCAGCAGGTACTCATTTGAAGCCGAGTCGACCTAGGGGAGTCCCATGACCGGTTGAGATAATCGTCACCGGTGTTGGCCGTGAGCGGGAATAGACCTCTCTGTTCGCCGGGTTTCGAAGCGCAGCGTAGCGCTAACCGCTGCACTACCGCTCCCCACTTGAACACGCGCGCTCACGCATGCATACACATAGACACATCA